ATATATAGCCTTCTGACACTAAAGTGTACGGTATAAAAGCCAAGTCCATGGTGTGCCAAGAAAACGTGTGCTGCTTTGCTCAGTTGTGTCCGACTCTTTGGGACCCCATGGACTGAAGCCCACCAGGATCCTCTGTCCACAGAATTTTCCATGCAAGAATACTGGAGTGGGTTGCCACTTCCTTCTCCAGGGGATGGAACCTGTCTCTTGCATCTCCTGCATTGGCAGGTGGATTCTTTACCACTAGCGCCACCTGGAGAGTCCAACACATAGTGTGCCCTCTAAAATATGCACTATAAGCATTTCTGAGCTAGAGCCTTAAGAAGAGAAGACATTTGCTTCATTGAAGTGCTTTGTCTTTTATCATAGTTCCCTTTTTCTCGACTATTCTGAACAGAGCTAAATGAACCAGCTCAACAAGGGCTAGGTTTTCTGCAAATTTCCTTCTTTCCAGCCCTCTTTTTTGTGTGTCTTTAGCCTGCTTTTAATTGTTGCAGGTACTCTTCATCCATGCTTTAATGGAATACTACCTCAAAGCTATTTCTCATTGTTTTTTAAACATATGCCAGCTGAGTTGGCCTTTTTTTAACTGGACCATTTTTAAAGTCTTTATTGCATTTGTTACAATATGGAAACTATAAACAAAACATAGACCACCTTTCAACGCAGAGTGTGCAGGTTTGATTCCCAGTTAGGGAGCTAATCCCATGATGCCTCCAGGCCTAAAAAAACAAAACAAGTCAGAAGTAATATTGTAACAAATGCAATAAAGAGGGTGTAGAGAAAAGGGAACCCTCTTACACTGTTGGTGGGAATGCAAACTAGTACAGCCGTTATGGAGAACAGTGTGGAGATTCCTTAAAAAACTGGAAATAGAACTGCCATATGACCCAGCAATCCCACTTCTGGGCATACACACCGAGGAAACCAGATCTGAAAGAGACACATGCACCCCAGTGTTCATCGCAGCACTGTTTATAATAGCCAGGATATGGAAGCAACCTAGATGCCCATCAGCAGATGAACGGATAAGGAAGCTGTGGTACATATACACCATGGAATATTACTCAGCCATTAAAAAGAATTCATTTGAATCAGTTATAATTAGATGGATGAAATTGGAGCCCATTATACAGAGTGAAGTAAGCCAGAAAGATGAAGACCAATACAGCATACTAACACATATATATGGAATTTAGAAAGATGGTAATGATAACCCTATATGCAAAACAGAAAAAGAGACACAGATGTACAGAACAGCCTTTTGGACTCTGTGGGAGAAGGCGAGGGTGGGATGTTTCTAGAGAACAGCATCGAAACATGTATATTATCTAGGGTGAAACAGATCACCAGCCCAGGTTGGATGCATGAGACAAGTGCTCGGGCCTGGTGCACTGGGAAGACCCAAAGGGATCGGGTGGAGAGGGAGGTGGGAGGGGGGATCGGGATGGGGAATACATGTAAATCCATGGCTAATTCATGTCAATGTATGACAAAAACCACTACAATATTGTAAAGTAATTAGCCTCCAACTAATAAAAATAAATAGAAAAAATAAAATAAAGATTAAAAAAAAAAAAAAAGAAAGGTGGTCTAAGCCCCTGACCCCCAGGGAAGTCCCAGGTGGTTGCTTTTCGTGTTGTAGGATTCTACAAGTTTGGACAGATGCATAGTTATATGCATAGTTATGTACCCACCATTAGTGTCATGGAAGCTGTTTCCCTGCCTTAAAACCCCGTGCTTCACCTTTTCATCCCTTCCTTTTTCTACCTGAACGCAGAGCTTCCTCTTCAGACTGTAGTTTTGCCTTTTCCAGAATGTCATATTAGCGAGTCTTTTCGGACTGCTTCACTGAGCAATATATATTTAAGGTTCCTTCATGTCTTTTTGTGCCTTGATGGTTCATTTCTTTTTATTGCTAAATACCATTATACAGATGTACTACAGTTTATGGGTACATATGAAGGACATCTTGGCTAATTTTTGGCAATTATGGATAAATAAAGCTGCTAAAAATATTTGGTGTGGATATGGTCTTTAATTCATTTGGACAAATATCTAGGAGTGCAACTAACTGCTTGTCTGTAAGGCTATGGTTAACTTTAAGAGATTGCCCAACTTCTTCCTTTGTCCCATGTTGCGTTCCCATCACCAATGAATTCAAATTCCTGTTGCGCCACATCCTCGATAGCATTTGGTGTTGTATCTTGGATTTTAGCTCTTCTTGTAGGTATTAGTGCCATCTCATTTTAATTTGCTATTCTCCAATGACATATTGACCACCTTTTTGTTTTATCTGCCATCTGTGTATCTCCTTTGATGAGGTGTCTAGATATTCTGACCATTTTTTAACTGGGTTTGCTTTCTTACAGTTACTTTTCATTTAGGGTTACGTCTTTTGTTGCTGTGTTTTGCTAATCTTTTCTCCCAGTCTGTGGCTTGTCTTTTTGTTCTCTTGGCAATGGCTTTTGCAGAGAAATTTTTAACTTTGAAGTTCAACTTACCCATTTTTTTCTTTCCATGAATTGTGGTTTTGGTATTTCATTTAAAAAAACAAAAACATTAGAAACAGTCTACCTTAGAAATGGTGGGCATACTAGTAAGCTGAGTTACTTAGAACTAAAGTCTCAATTAAGCAATTTGTATAATAATCTTTAAAAAGGATGACCTCTTTTGACTTAAGTATCTGGGGCTTTCTCCTAAATAAAAGTTTTAAGGAATAAATCATTAAGTGGGAAAAACACATCAAAACAAAAAAACCATCACCCAGACTTCCGACTTTAACATGTGGTCACCTAAAACTCTTTGTAATTAAGACTGTGGACTTCAGGTACTTCTATTTTGTTGTCTCTAGGGCCCACTAGTTTTGATCACTATTTATAATCCATTGTAAGAATATATCACATTTTATCCATTCTTCAAGGGGAATTGAGTGGTTTCTGGATTTTTGCTTTCTGTAAACAAGGCTTTGAAAATTGCTGTACCTGTGTACTGTTTTCTATATGCAGGTTTTCCTGGGGCATATTTAGAGGAGTAAAATTTGTGGATTATAGGATGTTTGAAAGTCCAATTTTAAAAGGTACTAGTTTCCAAACCGTCCTAAGGACTGAACCACTTTTGGTTAATGTCAGCAACCCTTCAAACACTAGATACTGCTAGACACTTTTAAATCTTTGTCAACTGAATGGGTATAAAATAGTATCTTAATTGTGGTATTGATTTGCATTTTATCTTTTCCTGGTTTGTAACCTGGCTTTTTACTTTCTTTGATGGTTTTACCATAAGGTATTTTTGGTTTAAAATGTCTCATTTTAATAGACAAATTCATCAGTAACACTTGCAGTCCATGCTTTGTGTCTTATATAGTCCTTCTACACCCAAGGTTGAAGCAGTAATCATCTTTTTTTGAGAGTTAGAAAATTTTGTTTTATATTTAATTCATGAATTTTTTCCCTGTGGTATGAGACAGGGAACAATTTTCACCTCTTTTCTATGCTGATGACCAGTTGGGCGAGCTGTCATGATCACAGTCTCCTTCCCCCAATGTGGTGTGCCGTATCTCACACCCAGTTCACCTCACGCATGGCTTTTTTGGGGCATTTTGGTCTAATCTGTTAGGATTCTGTATGACCCTTAGGGAATATCATGCTATTTTAATGAACGTGGCTTCATGATGAGTCTTACATAAGAGTGGAAAAATGCCCACCTCCCTGATTTTTCGTTATTGAAATGTCCTAGCCTTGGGCTCATCTTTATCTCTTAATTTAGAATCACCTTAACATGTTTCAGGAGGAAACTTGGTGGGACTCTGATAGGGACTGCTTTGAATCTATAGGTCTATTTGGGTACAAAATACATCTTCATGACAATGTCTGCCTAGCTGCAAACTTCTCTCTCTCCCTACTTTTTCAGGTCTTAGTTGTTATCTCTTAATAATGTTTGAAAATTTTTTCTTAAAAGAGCTCTTCAACATACATTGTTAATTTCCTAGGAACTCGGTGTTAATACTATTGTAAAACGTGTCCTCCAGTTTTGATTGTTACGGATACAAAGAAATGCAACTGGCTTCAGAAAATAAATGTTACACCTACCTCTGTAATGAAACCCTGGTATTTCTGGTACTTTCTCTTTAGATTTGGGTTTTCTACAAAAAAAGAACGTATGTACAAATAATTAGTGTTTCCTACTTTTTATTTCACAAAAAATTTTTTCTATTGACTAGGATGGAGATTCAACACAATTTTGAACAAAAGCAGTCATAGTGGAAAACCAGCCCTTTGTTTCTGAATTTAAAGGGGTATGAAATTTCCTCTTTGTGGCAGATGCTTGTTTTTTGTTTTACAGATTTACACAGAAACTATCACCTTAAGGAAATTCCTTTCGAGTCCTAATTTATCAAAGTTTTTATTATGACTGGGCGGTGTTAAATCCTATTGGATCTACTAAGATAGTCATAATGGTTTTCTCTTATTTAATATTTACAGATTCCAATGCTAAGTCATCATTACATATGGAGGGAGAATACACATACTAATATGGAATACACAAGTATTAAGTAAACAAATATAAACTTAGAAATCTGTATTGTAAAATACTATTTAATCTGTTTTACATACTATTTCAAGTTTTTAAAAGGCTGGCTGCCAGGTAAGTTTAAAAACCACACAACAAATGGCTTTTTGGAGATCTTTCTACTCCACAGTTCTCCAGCTCTCCATGTTTGAGTTATGCTCTTTCAGTTTCTCTAATCCTACTAGAAAAAGAAGCTTCTACTAGAACTAATTCATTGTGACAGAGTTCAGAACAGAGAAACAAACAAGAGCTAGAAAATATGACATGTTCAACTCACGGGAATGTAAGATCACAATTTATCATTGTTAAGTATCAGTCACAGATAGATGTGAGAGCTCATCTCACAAAATCAGTAAAGCAGAAAACTAAAGGACTAGAAGTCAAAATGAACTACCAGCAAGAGTAACGGAGAAAAAGTAATGCAAGGAAACGTTATGGTTTTCCTTTTTATTTAATCAAAGACTGGTGGATAAACATAAATACAACACAATTACTTCAGATCATTCTTCATATTGTATACACACAGACCGATGAACATCATCTGAAAGAAACCTGCAGTCAGCAATGAAATGCGTACAGCTTTTCCTTCCCTCGCTCAAAAAAACTTAAAAACACACAAACTTAGAATCTCATCAGCACACACTCTCCTGTGACAAATGATTCAGACATAAATAGTGGGTGCAAAGAAACTATATGCTAACATATGTATAACCTTTGTTAAGGAAAAATAGAAGCAGCCATAATGATTAAGATACATTCAGTTACTGGTAACTAGCTGTGCCCTAAAGGACATTATCAAAACAGAAATCGTGCTGCAGAGAAAAGCTATATATACATACACAATGAGAAAATAAACTGCAAGATTAAAGCATGCATGTTTAATACTGGGAAAAAATCACAGCCCTCCAAAATTTCTCCACATTTGTTATAAAAGCCCTCTGCACTCAACTAAAATTAAAATGATCTTAAAAGGATAATACTCGTAAAGTTTACTTTTTTCAGCCACAGAAACTGCAATGGAAATAAATGTTCAGAGTCATTTTCAAAACAAAAACAAAAATCTATTCTTCTGATGACATGTATGATTAAAGGTCTATGCAAGATACATTGCTCTACATTCCCAATGACTAGGAAAAAAAACCTCAAGTCAGTTTTTAGTTTGCAGATGGTCAAACGATTTTGTATTCCATCAGGACTTCAAATCTTCTGGATCTTTTCACCAACAACTACTGGATTTTCTTTTCTGATTTTCTCAGCAGCATCAGCTTTGTAATTGTAAGAGCAATTGTGTACATCTGAGTAACGGTGTACACCACAGTAAACATTTCCACACCGGCATTCAAACCCTGAAAATGGATTAATACACGTACATGAGTTGAGTGCAAGGTCTAAATACTAAACTCTCTACATAATTAATGTTAAAAAGATCATGTCTTTAGGGCAGCAATCTAAAGAATCATTCCAAACTAGCAGTTGCACAACCTAGTACACTCTCAAATTCACCAGCTGATGGCTTCAGTTCTTGTTACCACCTACAAACATAGGTCTGTGCCAGCCCAAGTCACAGCCATTTCTCTGAGCTCAAGTTTCTTCACCTGAAACACAACCGCTTCCTATCAAAAACAGGACTGATAAACTGAAAATATAAGACATTTCTCAAATACTACAATGTGAAAAAATAAGCATACTGTCAGAAGACAACCTTAAGTTTTAGTTAAGAAAGATGAAACTCTGGACAGAACTGTTAACAAAAAAAAAAAAAACAAAACAGTACACTAGCTTTCCTTGGCCAGTCTCCAATGGAGATGTGAACTGTAATCTGGCTCAGTGACTAAGAGCATGAGATCCAGTTGCAGTTGCCTAAGCATGAATCTATTTACTAACACAGGCAAATTACCAAGCCTCCCTGAGCCCCAGTTTCTGCACCTCTAATTCTGGAAATCAGTTATAGTAAGAATTAAATGAGAAAGTATTACCTGCCTAACATACAGTGAACATGCAATAAATGCTACTTATTTTAGGGAAATGCCCCAAGAATTGAAGCCAAAAGAGAGAAATAAGCAGGGTGAATAGTCTTTAAATAAAACTAGTCCTGCACCCCTAAAAAGGATTTTACTGTATGATGGAATTGTTAGAACACAGGAATCAATATTTTAAATGTTGACATTTGATGCAAACTTCTTTTGTCACATTTTAAAAAAAAACTTCCAAAAGATATTCTGTAACTTCATATTTTATTTTTAAAATTTCATTATTATTATTATGGCTGCACTACACATCTTGTGGGATCTTAGTTCCCAGGGAGTGAAAAGTGTGCAGTCCTAACTCCTGGACCACCATGAAGTCTCCTGTGACTTCATAATAATGAATGAAAAATGAAGCCAAAAGTAACACCAGACTAACAAGACTGGACAAGATGGAAATTACTAAGTCGCAGCCTTTTTTTCATGAAGTCTAAGTTTCTGAGATTTAGAAACAGTACTTGATACTATACATATATATTATATAGTATATACACACACACACATTTTAAAATGCCTTATTTGTTCATGTTTGTATTCTTTAAATAAATACATTTGCCAAACATAAGCTAGTCTTAAAACATCTTTGATATCAGACTATAAATCTCCTTTCCTCTTTTGTCTACTCCTTAGCCACATAACCTTCCTAAAACATAATTTTGCTCAAAATCCTATCTATTGTTAAGTCAGTTTCTTAGGCAGAGTATTCAGCAGAATGCCCTTCACACAGTAAACAATAAATGGAAACTATTTATAGCTGCCACTCTTCCCCATCAGTTAACCACAGCACACATCATCAGCCTCATCTGATGGTTTCAAACACCCTTCTGCACATATATTGTGCTACATTCCCTATTTATGGTCCCTAAACATGCCCTATCCTTTCCTTTCTCTGAACGTTCATTCAAGCTATCTTTTTTTCTGCCTGAAATGCTCCTATGTCCATCAGTTATAAGTCCCACTAACTTTTCAGGACCCAGCTGAAACATCCTACCTTCCGGATTCTTTGATGGGCCTCTGCTCCTCTCCTACAAATTATCAATAACTACACACATTTCTGAACTCCCAAAGCAATCTACTTGACTGCATTTAAATGTACTTTCTTTTTGCCAAATAGCCAAGTAATATTTCGAACATTTTCCCCCTCTCTTAGTACCATCTAGTAGCTCTGTTACAGCAGTCAGCATGTACTGATTACTTACTGGGTGGCAGGACAGGTCTATCACCTTACATGTATGAACTCTGTGAGCCCGCACCACCAACCAATGACTGGCCGTTTTACACACCAAGTACTTAAACACTCTCTCTCACACAACTATCTGGCGTTCCAAAGGCAGGAGCCACACCCCTGCCCTTTCACAGAGCCTGGCACACTGACCTTTCTTGTCTAACATTCTCAAATGCAGCTAAAATGGATTTTAAAAGAAAAGCTACTCATTTCACTATTAGGTATGTAATTAAAGCTACTTTTACTTAAGAAAATTCAGGAGGTGAAGCATATCCATTATTAACTCACACAGAAACAATCTTAATTGAAGCCATTAATATTAAGTCAAGCATTATCTTAAATAAAATCTTAATTTAAACCTTGTAACTCAGGCCCTTACCAGTAAGTCCCACTTTCTTTCTGCACATGAAACAGCGATTCTTTTTCTGTTTTGGTTTTTCAAGAGACTTGCTTTGCTCTTCAGATGCCTGCTGTGCCGTTTCTGATACTGAAGCTGACAAAAATAAGGTGGTGAAACTTAATTGTACAATGAGATTCTGAGGTGAGGTGGTTGCTACCCTCACCTGCCCCCACTGATCTGTTTATTCAGAGGATAACTGAATTTATTTATTTATTAACATGGAAAGATGCCCACAGTTAAGTTACAGAGTATATAATATGACCCCCTTTTTGTTAAATGCATATATGTATGTTAAGTATGTATGTATATACACGTGCAGAAAAGCTAAACTATACATTGAGATGTTAACAATAACTCTAGAAAGTGCTTATTTTTTAAATTTTCTGATAATTATGTATTTGATCAATAAAAGACATACAACACACAAACACTACTTGGGTATTCTGAGGGGGAAAGAAAGAAAATGTGTAAGAAAATGGTCACATGCAAACTTCTAAATATTGCTGAGTCAGAACTATGTAGATTTCAAACAATACAAGGGAAAGAAATCCTAAAACCAAGATTCAGTGGACTATTAAGTATGTTCAAAATTCTCAGAATATTTCATATAAAACCTTTAAAATATGGGGAATAAGATATATTGATTAAAACATTACAATTAAGATAGTAAATTAAGTAGTGAACCCAAGGCCATCTGCACCAAAATTCAGGTCAAATTATTGGCCCTACACCCTAACTTACGGGTTTAATAAACTGGAAACCTGTCGTTCCTAACTGATACACATTCCTCACTGTATAAGTGAGATACTGCTGTTTATTAAATCACAAGGCATAATTAAAAGAGAAAGATGCTTTAATATAGTAAATTCTCAATTAAACATGAAAAAAATCCTTCAGAGCCATGAGGACCAAATGGAAGCAGTGCCACCCACCTGGTGACAACGTAACCTGATTATGAGCAGAATACCTACAGAGAAAAAAGCTGTTTCAAGGACACCACTCTGAAAACTCCAATAAACAATGTTAGGGAATTCTGGTTTAGGCACATAACAGCTACTCATGTGCCTTCTTCCATTTGGGATGATTTTCCTATCTAATAAATTCTGCTTGAGGGATACAAGTGGAACAATAAGGAAGAGAGAGAACAGATACCTGGGCAAATCACCAAACCAGCTGACCCTCCCTGGGAACTGAGGGGGCTGGGAGCTGGCAGCAGGAACACACACACTAACAGCCTACCCCAGGAAGCACCACAGCTGTCTAGTGGAAAGAATAATGGCCTGGAGTCAGGTGCCCAGGTTCCAGTTCCAGCTCAAATGACTACAGCACTTGAGTCAAAGATGTCTTTTGTTTTTGTCCATCTATTAAGTAGATGAAAAAAATATTCTCTGCATTTATTCCTATCAAATAGGGAAATCACAGGTATATTGTGTGTCATGAGTGTGTGCATAGATACACAGTTGTATGAGGGTTTATAATAAGACACTTTCAATTCAACAGTATAAGCAAAAGACTCTTTTTTTTAAAAAAACTAGCCTAAGAGATTTTACACATGGAAAACTAACCCTCTCAAACTCGTATGAAACTTATACCTGATTGTTCAATGATTCTGCTATGCTGAAAATATGAATGCTAAGTTCTTGAAAGGTACTTAAGTTAATACTGGTTTAAGTTAAATCACTGAAATTACACATGAAAAAAAAAAAGAAGTCTATACAATTTAAAACCCCACTATTTAAAACCTCAATAGTGGTACAGAACACGCTTGCCAATGCAGGAGATATGAGAGACATGGGTTTGATTCCTCGTCAGGAAGATCTCCTGGAGGAGAGCATGGCAACCCACTCCAGTACTCTTTCCTGGAGAATCCTATAGACAGAGGAGCCTGGCAGGCTATATACAGTCCATGGGGTCGCAAAGAGTTGGACATAACTAAAGTGACTCAGCATGCACAATTTCTCCTAACATAGCATCAAGACCATCTTTTGCATTAATGTGCTCAGCACTAGGTGAAGAAAACTGTTGTTATTATCCATATACCATAAATGAGTCTTCGTATTATAATAGTTTACCAACTTAAAATCTTTTTTTTTGGTCAAACTTGTAAAACAACCAGTTTTATTCTTAAGCAGCATATATTTTCTCACTATCAACATTCTAAAATTTGTTCAACTTTAAGACGTAAATAACACCTTCATGGCTGGCAGCCTGTTTTCATTCTTCCATCCTTGGCTCTCTCTGGAGACTGCCAAGCAACCCCTGTTTCTCAATTCTCTGCATCTGGGGCCTGAAAGTAACCAGGATCTAGATAATGTATCCTCTCCCTGGTGCAGACTTGGTACCCTACCTGCTCTTCTCCATTCTGCCTCTCATCTTCCAAATTGGGCCAAGGAATTCCAAACCTCAGACAGAAGACTGCTCATACGTTTAAACACCCATTTACCCATCTACTACCTCCAATTGAGTCTTTTAAGTTTTGAAATGTGACCACTTTCAATTTGCTCTATCTAAAATCTTGTCTCACCATCACTTCTTTCAACTTCCCTGGTGACAACAAACACATCATTGCCGTTTCAACTGTCATCCAATTAAAAGATTTAACATCACCCTTGTCTTATTTCCCATGTCTAATGGGTAACTAAATTTTGGGAATTTTTCTATTTATGCTTTAAAAAAATATCCTTTGTCTCCGTCCACCCTTAAACTTTTCTATTTAACTAAAAATAATAATAATTCACTTATAATAATCATGAATATTTACAATATTCATAATTGCATGGAATATTTATGCTGATCAGACAGTTACATTTTCTTTCTATAGCAAAATGTGTAAGGAGGCAAATTATGACAATCATTTGTTGGGCATGAAATCAGAGGAAGGGGAATTAGCTAGCTTAACTAAATTTAAACTTTAGCAAACTTCAGCTAAGATTGCCAGGTATACCTATCATCACCCTGTGAACACCATGTACAGTGGAAGGCTTCAATGGGTATGGCATCGCGTCCATTTAAATCATGTCACAGGTCAAATGACACACAGCTCATCTTCGGGCTTCTTCCCAGAGTATCCTTCTCAATTAATACATCATTTCCACACACTAGTAGAATATAACTAACCAAGCATAGATTTTTTTTCACAGCACCCTAAATGTCTCCTCTACTAGCTCTGCCCACTAAGAAAGCCTTCATACACATATTCCAGTCTTCCTAGATCCACTTCACCTTGGTTCACATAATGGGGATACAAAGAGCATGGGCAAGAACTTGAGATGCCATGCTATAAATAAGAGTAACTGAGCATGACTGTTAGGCTCAAAGTCACACGTGGGGAAAGGGAGGTCACTGCCAGTCAAAGTAAATAGATAATCCAAGTCCAAAGCAAGAGATTACTCTTAAACCAGCAGCCCTGGTTCATGGGAGAGGAAAGAGTATTTAGGTTAAAACAGACAAAACAGTAAAAGAGAACAATGTAACACAACCACTCATTCATTTAATTATATTTGTCAAACAAAACAGATTTTCAGATTTCTATGTTGATGCTGATGAGCTAATTACATATAAGTAGGAAAAGGCTCCCTATATTTCAGTCAATTAAATACTTAAGAATGTAGAACACCCTGATCATAAAGAAAACAAATATAAAAAATATGTATCAGGCAGGCAATTTAAGAAACACATGCATCTAGGAGAGTGCCTGGCTAGGAATACTCTAACATTAAATAAATGACCAAACATATGCTAGATTATGTACAAACCTTGCAGGTCTTCTGTTTCAGGTATTGCTTTGTCCACAGATGTACTGTCCACTTGGGAAGATGATACAGACTCTGATAAAAGTGACTGATTTGACACAGGGCTAGAAAAGCAAAAATATTTAAATTTTAAAAGATGATCTCTATTCATAGCTAGAAATTAAGTGATTAATTAGTAAGAGTTCAACATTATTTAAGCAGATCATTAAGACAGGAATTAATCAGAAATTAAAAAAAAAAATAACTTCTACATAACTACAGAATTTTGAAATTTGAGACCAATTTGGACCAAAAATTTTTTTATTTTGAAATAAAGCCACAGAATGTGTCTACTGTGTATGAATTCACTAAATGAACACTAGTATGATAAAGACATGCTTCAGGAACCCTAACACAAAGTTGTATATGATGTACTGATGGACACAGGAGAACCAGAAAAAGGAACTTCAGAGCAGAAACTTAGTATATGTTTCCTAACAGCAGGGTAAGAATGAAACAAATATTTCTGTGTTTCCAGCTTCTAAAAGACTTCAGTTAAAAAGAAAATACACTACAATACAAATAGATACCAGGACGACATCATTATATTAAACAGAGAACAGGATCACATGATATTAAACAGAGAACCTGTGACAAACCCGTTTTTTAATACAAATTTAATACAAATACTAGTATTTGCATCAAAGGCCTATGACTAGAAGAACTTAACATGCTTCAAAAGGACTTCAAGGGTTGGTCAGAATACATTATGAAGAAAAAGAAAAAAAGCTGTCTGAAAAACAACATCTTTTCATTAAATTTTAAGACAACTCCCTACTCTCACCGTAATGTAACACCAATAAAAAGATTTTTTTGACTAGTCAGTGATAATAATGAGACAGATACGATTCTCTGCTAGTTAATCCTAAAGTGACTTTAAATCGTTTTCCTTAAATAACAGAACTGACCAGATACAGAAAAAAATGCCTTACTTTTCAATAGCTCTCTGGTCACAGTTCAGAGGCGGCCTCTTACCTTGGCTGCATAGATGAAGCTGTTGAGTCTAGTGCTGACTGAGCCTCTGGGACACTACCGTCTGTGCACTGGACTGGTAAGGACTCAGACAGACTTGTGACAGAAGGTGCTGCAACAGGACCACATCGCACGTTAGTGACTCTGTGCCCTGGGCGGGCCAGCACCTTATCTAAAAAAACCAAGATCAGTTTCCCACGAAATACAGTATACGGGTTTTGTTTTACTATGTAATATGCTGGTTCATTACTTTAGCTAAAAGTTTTCAATAATTTTCCTATGAAAAGGATGCTAATTTTACCACACACAAAATATACATAGTCAAGACCTAAATGACTATTTTTTAGGATTATCGCCAAAACTCTTTAATTCATAAATGTCTTCCAAATAATAGTGCACAACGAGATCTTTAAAATAAAAAAGAATTCAGCAGTAAGGCAAATGTAAATTCAGAATTAAAATCTGCACTCAGGTTATATTATTTTACCTGTTCTTCATAAGGCAAAAACGTAGACAATGATTTTACAAAACAATATAGTAACTTATATTCACTTAATTTTAGCCTCAAGAAAATTTAAAGAAGTCTGGCTTAAACAGGAAGCAATGATGAAATAGACTCCACAAGCAATTTTAAATGAACTAAGTAACAGCCTGCACTCTCATTAACCACAGAAACCTACACATTCAGGCATTAACATATATGAGAACTATCCTAGATGAGTAAAGTTCATGTTCAAAATCCCTTTTTACACAATCACTGACGCAAAAGCCACTTCAATTCCAGGAGAATCCTCTGACAGAAAAATGAATAAAGAACTCAAGTGAACTGGGGATGAACAAACACCCTTTTCTCTGAGTCAAACTGCCCCACCTCTCCTTCCTATGTAGAATGGAGGCTTTCTCTGAAGTCATCTGTGGCTATCTAAGTGGAACTCTCTCCTCCGACAATTACGTTGGCCTCAGAAGTCATCCTAGAGAAAAGAACCAAGGTCCTCCTCACACAGCCCCCACTCCTTCAGAGCTTATTTTCCAAGACAGCTCTACATACTCGGAGTGTGCATTTATTTTATTAATTAGTAAGATAACAGTTCTCGAGCACAGCACCTAAGACTGAGATGGATCTACAGTAGTTCTTTTCAATGAGTGGAGATACTCCTCTTTCTCTTGCCTTACCAATGATCCTTACAATGTGTACTGAGACATTTTCCTGATGTAAATGTAGTAAGGCAAGTACAGTGTGAAAGGGGAAAGAGGTGCCAGGTATCCTTTGCTATTCAGGTGTATCTCAGTTATGAACAGCACTGTGTTTTACTTACCAGGTAAGAACTACTTACCAGGTGGGCTTATTCTACCATTACTACTATTCTGTCTTTGAAGATGTTCTTTATAGCACACTGAACACATGCCATTCGTACGAGGGTTTCCATAAAATCCGCAGCCAGTGGAACAAAGCATAGGCACTTGGCTGTGATTAGTTTCTTGAGCCATGTTCCTCTGTTGCACACCTGAAATTTACACAGAATGAGCAGAGAACTCTGATACATACTACAATCATACATTATCCAAATCTGCTTTATGTAATAAAGGAAAATGCACATATACTCCTCCCTAAACCACTCTACAGCTGTCTGAAGTAGAGAGAGGAAAAAAAAAAATATCAAAAGGATACAAATCTGAACTTTTATCTCTGACCCTCACTGTACAAAAGGATTGTACTGGCTCAAACAATGTTATGAACTAGAGAAAGGTATCTGATCTAAAGACTCCACAACATCAGAATGGTAAGAAAAATCCTTTAAGTTTAGTTCAGCTTGGATACCTAGGAATGAGAAATACAGTTTGCTCTTTGTTGTATTAGTAAGGCCTAATCACTTAACTTTTGCTTAAAAAGTTCATGTTTTAACTTGCATAATGTTTTCTGTTTAAGAAGCATTTAACATAGTATCAATGCTGGTGAAGATGTGGAGAAATACAACACTGGTAAAATGAGAAATTGAGTCAATCATTTTAGAAAGCTACATTGACAATTCATCTTAAGAGCCTTGTGAAAGATTGCCCTTTTGAACCCATCATCTCCTTCAACAGAATAACTTGGGTAGAATCAGAAAAAAATTATAAATACATATGTATATATACACACACATACACAAGGCATGGATGTCACAGCTTATTTATAATGCTGACAAACCTATTAATCATCAGTAATTATAAGAAAGAATAAATCTAAGGATGGGAAAGCTAATAGATTTTTTTTTTCTGATGTGTATCTTCTCTGTACTTTTAAAATCCTTTTAAATGAAGTACTACTATATAATTGGGGACAAAATATTTAAAGTACTTAAAATTTAAAAACTAACAATCAGAAGAACTGTTTGGGAACCAGAGGCAATAATCAATTACAGCAGACAGAAGAACCCTGTGTGCTATTTCTCCCACACAGCAAGCGGCTCTCTGGCAGGAATGACGAGACAGATGGTAATAACAGGCTCTATCTTATTAAAAAAAAAAGCCTCCCAAATGAAATGAAGGTTACTCCAAAATGGGTGCAGGTGTCTTACAGAGGAGACTATGTTCAGACATCATAAATGATAAGACTAACAATGAAGGACAGTGTTTTGCCACTGAAGTTTTCTCGAATTGATAAACAATGAAAGAAACCTTCACTATTTACCACTAACATTTTTTTTTCCACCTAAATTATTTGCAAACACTGTTGTGGATTGAGGGGTGAATGGGGTGGGTTTAATGCAAATTTCAGAACCAAGAGCAATAATGCATTTGACTGGATTATAAAACAAAGCAGGTTTAGCATTTACCTTTAAAAAGAAAAACTTAAAACTGTTGATAATCTTTAGACCTTTAGGCCTAGGAAGAGAACCTGACATTTTGAAAAACATCTTTTTTACTTTATGAAGCCAAGTCATCTCAGAATCCAATGATGAGTAAACAGCAAAGGTGCTAAGAACCTGGAACCTCATCAAGGAGTCAAACCATGACATACAGTACCATTATATTCTTGATCACCATACTGTCAGAGCAAAATTCTTAATTTATTAAATCCTGAGACTGAACACACACAACTTGTTAATATTTTGTGTGACAAACTGGGAAATACACATAAAGCATTCCTGCTGTATACAAAGGTATGGTGAGTGAAGAAAAAGCACTTGAACAACTGTTTGAGTTACAAGCTGAGTCATCTTCACAGAACAGGTTTTTTGTTTCAAAGAACTGACAAACTGATTATTTAGACTTGATTATATCAGATATTTTCTCAGAAATGAATGAAGCCTATTACTTCAAGAAAAATAACTAATAGTATTTACTGCCAAGGACAATATTTAAATAATAAAATAAAAAAGCTTGACAATAATTTTTAGAGAGTCTCTGAAATGATTAGTGAAAAAAGTGAAAGTGTTAGTCGCCCGGCCATGTCCTAGTCTTTGTAAGCCCATGGACTGTAGCCTACCAGGCTCCTCTGTCCATGGGATTCTCCAAGTAAGCCTACTGGAGTGGGCTGCCATTTCCTTCTCCAGGGGATCTTCCCAACCCAAGAATCAAACCCATGTCTCCTGCATGGCAGGCAGATTCTTTACCATCAGAGCCACCACGGAAGCTGATTAGTGGTGATATTAATGACATGTAAGTATTGGTTCTATTATCAACATCTGGGAGATCTGCATAAGCCAGGAAACCAATATTTTCTAAATGACCAACGTACGATGGTACAAAATTATTCATGAACAAAACACTCACTCAAAGGGAAAGACAGACCCATGGGTTTCAGAGTAACTGGACAGAACATTTTTACACAGTATGAGATTCTACACTGCAATTTATCCCTTTAATAAACTACAAATTGTCACATTTTGGTGTAATATCAAAGAAGAGAGATATCTACTATCTGAAAAGGTTATCAAAATACTCCTTCCTTCCTTTTCCAACTACATATCTGTATGACACCAGCTTTTTTTTTTTAAAACATTGTAACAGACTGAATACAGAGGCAACCATGAGAATCCAGCTGTTTGTTCTAAGCCAGACCTTGAAGAACTTGCAAAAAAGCGTAACAATGTCATGTTTCTTACTGAACCCTTTGAAGGGGGAGTTATTTTTTACAATAACTTTTAAATAAATTAATAACTAATAAATATTTGTGACTGTCTCACTTTAATTTGTAATATGGTGAAATTTTCACAAGATATGACAGACACAGGCTAAAGGTCCTCAATGTACTCAATAACTTTTGAAAACTCAAAGGTCCTGAAACCAAAAATTCTGAGACCCTGCTGCTGTAACTAGCACCCAAGCAGCACCAGCTCAAGCAGACAGACACTGACCCTGGAGATGGGAGTACAAAACCCCCTTACTCTGAATATATGAAACAGACATACATGTAATACATACACAGATAACTGCATCTGTGGGATTAAAATTTTATGGAGGTAGGAAGCCAATAAGGAAAAAACTGTTTCAAAAGACTCCTGGGAGTGGGGTGGCGGGCAATAAAGGAAAAAGATTGAGACACAGTGTTCTTATTTTCACAGCTTGCTGGATCTTAGTTCCCTAACCACAGATCGAACCTGGGCCCAGGCAGTGAAAGTACCGGGTCATAATCACTGAACAGTCAAGGAATTCCCAAGAAACACTGTTCTAAATCACCAACTATTCTATACTGCATATTAATGACATTAAAATTATATAAGAATTAAAAACTTTCTCTACCAGTACGGACAAATTTTTCAATATATGCTGGCAATTACAAGCATCCAGAAAAGAGAATTATCTTATTTCTATAAAAACTCAAGCAGAGAGTCACAGGTAAGAAGTACAACATGACCAGGACGCTTTTTGTATCACAACCTCTGCTTTTGAACAGTAAGACTAAAATTCAAAACGTTGTAACTATTTCCCCAAGCCAAAATACCCTGCACAGTAGCAAATTAGCAGTAATTTTGTAAGTTAAAAGCTTTCAAAAACAACTATTATCGTGGCAGATAAAAAGCACAAAGGATTTCACAGGAAAAGAAGAGAGAAATAAAAGGAAAAAAAAAATCAGTTTTATTTATTCATGGTTAGGCCACAAAATGTTAACTTTCCGTGAAGATTCAGAAAAAAGACCAAGAGCCATAAAAGGGTGTCCCAGTTTACCTTTATGTGTAGTGGCAAAGATGGGGTGGCTCTGGAGAAACTGAAAGCCCGAGGTCCCCACGCGCCGGTACCTTTCTGGTAGGTAAATATGAAGGGCCCACGAACCTGGCCTTCAGGAGGAAAAGAGGAAAGAGAAGGAGAAAGCAGAACAATTCCTTGAGTGCTCTAGGTATTGTGGGATTATAGAACCAAAAATCCAAGGAGGTAAAGACTGAGATTGTCAGAGATACAGAGAAAAATGGATTAGCACGGTGGAACTGAAAAAAAAAAGTACGAATTAAAAGAATTCAGAAAATGTGATTTGACTCTTAATAACATTCATAATTAAACCCACACCTGACTGTCCTCTCTACCTTCCTCGGATACTTAGTTACTCAGAGTTTACTACGGGCCACAAACCATTTCTATTGTTTTATTTATATTATCTCACTTAATTCTCTCCAGAACCCTATGACATTGGTATTACTGATATCCCTATTTTAAATGAGAAAACTGATATTCAAAGAAACCTAATAACTTGCCCAAGGCCACATATCTATAAGCTTTGAGGTCAATGTCCTTTTTTTTTTTTAAATCAAAAACAAAATTAAAAGAGAATGACTTTCAAAGTCCATCCTGTCCTGCCAAACCTACAAATTTGTGAACATTCATGAATTCTTATTCTTTTCATTTAAAGGTAATTTAAAATTTCATTCATTTATTCAACCTTAAAGTTGAATATGCAGCTTTTAAAATTTTTTAATTATGCAAATTTAACTAGCTTAACTAAGTTCTTGAGAAACTTTTTTTCCTTTATGTCTTTTAACCTAAGAAATTTTCATTAGCATAAAAAATTCAAGATCAAATACTTTTAAGAGTACAAGGAAAGTTCATTACTAATTATTAAAATTCTGACAAAAGAACAGCAATGAATGAATCCAACATAGACTCAATTATAACTGCAAATACACATCAAACTTATTTCACTCTGCTTCATTCCTTAGAGTTCAGTCACCAAGTTACAATAATTTTCATTTGGAAATCTCTCATGTTCTTTTCTTTTGCATCCCAATTCTGATTCTCATTATTTCACACCTGGGTTATTTTAATAGTATTTTTTCTTCTGTTTTACTGCCTCTCCTCAAAATCTACTTATTTAAATTCTCTTGAACACCAAGTTCTCATCATATTTCTTCCAGTTTAGTTACTCTATATGTGCTCCAGGAAGGAGTACTAGACCTGGGATTCTGAGCTCTACATAATTTACCGTAACCAGTCCAATTTCCCTGCAAAGTAAATGCCAAGTGAAAAGTGAATAGGCTTGGGGTCAGGGCCCAGCTTTGCCATTTTTATTGCCTATAAGAGCTTGAACATGTTACTAAACTTCCCTAGGTTTCAACTCCTTAAAAGGGTGTTCATATTTATCTAACTAGATCAAGTAAGACAATGTATACAGAAGGCGTCCATACAGTGCCTGGCACAGAGTGGAAACTAAGTAACTGCTCTATCTCTGCTCTGCCTAAAAGTAGAGGGTCCTTTGCCCCCATCTGTTTGCAACAAATCATGCTCATTGATGGAAACAAGAATCTAACTCATACTGCTCCTTCCTTCATAAATGCCGTCTGCTTCTTCACTCTGCCTACGACAGTCCTATTCAGGAATCAGCTTAAATTCTATCTCTTCTGGTTTTATTTCTGTCCACCTTGATCCTCCTCTGTTTTGTATTCCAACAGACACTCTCCATACCACCTTTTGGGGGCACTTAAGCTCACCCATTACTCAGATGCTTTACAGGTTATACAAGTCATTTCCCAGATAATGATTTCCTTTTAAAATTCCCTTTTTGCCTAATATGAATACTACAAAGTATTTTGTTGAATACATACATTTCATTTTTGTTGGACTATTCACATCAGGCCCCCCAAAAGGGTTACTTTCCATTGAAAGGGGGAGAAAACAGACTGATGAAAAATGTTTCAACCACAGTACCCATGATTCATATATTGAAACAGTCACTCAGCAAGAATGATCAGTAATCCAAACCAGTTATAAAAGGCACGTATAATTTTTCATTTCATTGTTCTCCCTCCTGAAATAAATAGGGAGGATACACGGTTTACAATGATGAGTTAAATACAGAAGTTAACTTGCAAAGAAGTGAAATCTGACCCACGGGCATGTTTGGTTAGCCAGCACATATTAATTTTTTTAAACTAGTTTTTAACTTTCAAAAGTTGGGGAAATGTCAAACAAAAAATCCCAGATTTTCAGCTCCTCTTGAAAACAGCAAAACCTGACAATAGTAGACTGATGTTCCCAAAATTAAACCAATTAGCTGGGATCCTTCTCAGAGAGAGCCTATATTCTCTAACGCAAGGCTACCTTCACTTTCAGTTACCTGGTTGGTAAGCATCAGAATTTTAATTCTTAGGTTAACACCAGAACCGTTTCAACTTGGAATCATTATTATTAATTTCAGGAGAAGAAAAAATATACATGCTGAGTTACATAAGAATGCCAACTAAACTTCGAACTAATACTCGAGGCACAAAGTGATAAAGACAAGCTTTCCCTTTGCCCCTGGCCTTTACTACTCAGAACTGGCTAATCTTCTGCAATTTTATCAAATGGAGATCTCAGAAAAGAGCAACGTAGAACATTCTTCTATAATCTGTTTTATTAATAATAATTAATCAAAAGAAGAATACCCATTCTGTCACAGGTGTTTGAGATTAATGTCTCCTGGCAGCATACAGTAATTTCCCATAGAGTTCTGAGCATTTGGCTCCATCAGCTATCATATAGGCAAGAGACATGTTCTGGGGGTCAGGAACCTCTGCAGAGGTTACAGAAAACCTAGGGACATTCATAAAGCGAACAGATGAAGGAGAAGATGCGGCGATGCTGCTGCTCACTCTGATAGTCTAGGGTTACCCTATTCACTCTGAGTTAGGGTTCCTACTGTCCTGAGGGTGCCCTGCAGCACTCTCTCTGTACAGCAGTTCTTAGGTCCCTATGTTAGCTTGTCTTTCCTGCCGCTGTGTGGGCTGAAGGACAAAAAGGCTTGAGTCCAGCTAACATGAGGATGACATCCTGGGGGATACCACATATTCCTTCCCGGCAAATAATTAATCCATCAGTTTCAACACACTCAGTTATACAAGGATGAGAGACCTCCGAGCCAATTCTACTATACTCAAACCTCACTTCCCTGGTTATTGACGTAAAGAAGTTTCACTGACCAGCACAACAGGTCTCACAAATCGAGGCCACTATGGTACTTCCAGGCGAAGAAGATGGGCTTCAGGAAAACTCTGATTGGCATTCCCACCTTAGATGACTCTACTCTGCTGCACCCAAAAATGTGTAAATCAGGGGCCAGCAAACCTTTCTGTAAATGACCACACAGTAAATATTTTAGGCTGCAAGTCCATGCAGTCTCTGTTACAATTATTCAATTCGCTGTTATCACATAAAAGCAACCACTGACAATGTTCCAACAGAACTGTACTTAATGATCACCAAGATTTGAATTTCCTAGAATTTTCACATTATAAAATGCCCCTCTTGATTTTTACCTTAAAAATACACCACTTAAATATACAAAAGCCATTCTTGGGTCATGTACTGAACAAAAACAGGTGATGAACGAAAAGTCTGCCAACTCCTTAATTAAATATAAGCAAATGGTGTTAATGTAATCATCACGGGTGAGAAGGTGGGGAGTCTAGGTGGGCCTGGGACTCCCAGGGGCAGAGGTCCTATTAACTGTGGGACTCTCTCTAATCCAGACAATGTAAATTTAAAGTATTATTTGCTCCCTAAGCTTCATCTCTTAAGTATATGTTCATCACCCAATAAGGGGAAAAAACTATGAAAGGCAATATTTCACACAAATCTTTAATAGCAAGGTATAGTTTACACAAAGAGTTGTAGTTATGATGGAAAAAATGACAGCAATGCTCTTGGTACAGACTGTCCTCTATTTAGCACACTGCTTTCTATTCACCAAGGCTAAATAACATCCACAGTGTCTTAATAATTATAAAAGCATTGAATAACTGGACATGAAGACATCATATTCCTGAACTGACAGTTTCTGTCTGCCTAGTACATCTTCCTCCTTACCCTTTCAGATAGCAGAACCTCTCTCTCACTTGCTGGGATAGGCCTAACCCCGCCTCCTCAGAGCCACACCTGTCTCAGGGGTGGGCATGTGATCCGAGCCTGGCCTATGACTCAGTCACTCCTCCCTGGATCTCACTGGTACTGCTGGGAAAGAGGCAGGCTTTGCCCTGTGAGGACACTGAGACAATACCATGTAAACCAGGTGCCAGCCTCCAAGACGAACCCCAGAGAGTCCCAGGATTCCTGGCATTCAGGCCCTTGGTAGTCCCCACCCGCATTTTCTGGGTGTTGGTCTGGATAACAACAGAATGCTGTGCACGTGATGGTCTGTATCTGAGTCTAGTCATGATAGACGCTGCATGCTGCAGCTGCTGGCCTGCTCTCTCTCGGCCCTACGGAGCTGTAGAGAGGGCCCCACCTGCTCAGTCACTGAGGCCTCAGGCCACAAGGCATGTGAGTGAACCTGGAAGCAGACCCTTCAGTCCTGGTGAAGTCTTCAGATGACTGCAACCTCTGCTGACACCTGAGCTGCAACCTCATGAGAGACCCTGAGCCAAAATTCCACAGCTAAGTCACTTCTCTATTCCTCACAGAAACCATGCGAGACAATAAACATTTGTTGTTTTAAGCCATTAAATTTTGGGGTAATGTGGTATATGGCAGCTGATAACAAATACAGTTATTGATACATCTGTCTCCCCTGCTTCTCTTATTACGATCCTATGGTGTCTTTTCAACACAACAGCCAGTGATCATGTTAAATCTAAAACAAAGCACACTGCATGCTTGCTCAAAATCCTCCAGCTGACCAAGTAAAAGCCAAACTCCCTACGGACATAAAGGCGCTTTATAATCTGTTCCCCCATTACCTGACTTCCTCTCCCATTCCTCCGGATAACGCACACTGCCAGGCATGCTCCGGTCTTAAGGCCTTTGTAACTGCTGTAACTTCTACCCTCCAGAATCACTAGGAGGACAGGAGTCCTTCATTTCCTTCAGGTCT